ACCTGTGTTTGTCCTCAAGCAAGTGCTCTTACTAATTTTCTTTTGACGCTCATTCTGTATAGGCTTTATGTCTTTATGCCCTGCTCACAAAATGGTATGAGCCAACTTTTAAGGAGATCCAAGAGAACAAACACCATAGCCAAGAGTGCAGGGAAACTTTTGTGTAGACACTTGATCAAAATTAAACAAAAGCTCTGCAACTGGACCTTCATTCAGTATAAATAAACATGCTTTGTGTTGACTCTGGAGGTGCATGGATTAGTAAGTGCTCTTCTCCCAGACCTCTGTTGTGGGGAGAGGTGCAGCTTGGTCTCCTGGAAGAGATTTCTGGTGAAATATGATGGCAAGGTGACCATCTCGTGGTATGCAGGCACATTTTAGAAACATAACGGTTTTGGGGCACCTGGCTGGCTCAGTCGGTAGAGTGTTTGACTCTTGATTTCAGGGCTGTGAGTTCAAGCCCCAGGTTGGGTGTAGAGATTATTTAAAAATAAAATCTTTAAATGAACAAACAGCCAAACCATTTGGATTCATTGTAACTCTGATTCTTATGGTACCCAAACTTTACTTGGCTATCCATGAAAGTTTTTTTTTTTTTTAAAGATTTTATTTATTTATTTGAGAGAGAGAGAGAGCACATGACAGGGAGGAGGGTCAGAGGAGAAGCAGACTCCCCGCCGAGCAGGGAGCCCGATGCGGGACTCGATCCCGGGACTCCAGGATCATGACCTGAGCCGAAGCCAGTCGCTTAACCGACTGAGCCACCCAGGCGCCCTATCCGTGAAAGTTTTAAGTTGTACACACTCCATCCCCAACATACACATTTCTGGCCCCAAACATGGGCAACTTCTACTCTGTGACCCCATACTGATTTTAATAATGCTACTGAAAAAACAATAAAGAAAGTAAATGTCTGTAATTACATTTGCAAAATTCATTCTAAATAAAGAATTTTGTATTATCCATGTTTATAGTTTTCCCTATTTTTTTTTGGTGGGCAGCAAAGCAAAGTTTATTGAGCAATAGTTCAAAGCTCCCAAAGAGCGAGGGGACCCAAGAGGGTTGCCCTAGTTTTCCCTTTTTAAGGTTACATAAGAATTGACTGTGTCTCAGTCTATCAGCTAAGTATTTCATTTTCTTGGAGAGTAATTGGAGGAGTTAGAAGAATCTATAGCTTATGTATGCATGTTGAGGATCGGTTGAAGTTGTGAAAGTATACAGTTGTATAGTTTTCTCCTCACAACTTCAGACATTTCAGTGGGTCTCTAAGTAAAAGTGATGTTAAATGGTTAATGCTCATCTGATTGGCAGCAATTCAAAAATCTGACCGTTAGGGTAGATTCTTTCTCACCTTAACCAAGACTGAATTGAACTCTAATGATATATTTTGAAAGTTTTTTTTAACCTACTAGGTAAACAAATAATAAAAATTATTGCTGGGTGATATAAATAGTACAAACTTACAAGCATCTCTTTATATCTGCTTTTGTTAACTATGATAGGTGAAGGAAACGGTTTTATCATGACCACAGGAAATCACTAACACAGTTCAGTGGATATTTTTCTTTTTTTTTCTCTTTAAATTTTTTATTGTTATGTTAATCACCACACATTACATCATTAGGTTTTTTATTTTTTATTGTTATGTTAATCACCATATATTACATCATTAGTCTTTGATGTAGTGTTCCATGATTCATTGTTTGCGTGTAACACCCAGTGGTCCATGCAGAACGTGCCCTCTTTAATACCCATCACCAGGCTAACCCATCCCCCCAGCCCCCTCCCCTCCAGAACCCTCAGTTTGTTTTTCAGAGTCCATCATCTCTCATGGTTCGTCTCCCCCCCCCCCCCCGCCCCCCCCCCCTTCATTCTTCCCCTCCTGCTATCTTCTTTTTCTTTTTTTTTTTCTTAACATATATTGCATTATTTGTTCAGTGGATATTTTTCTGTTTCAATACATAAAATAAGATTTGTGTGTGGCCTGTTGATTATGCCCAACCAAAAAGACAGCGATACAGAACAAGCACCTTAAGTCATGTTTTTAAAGAAACATCAACCAATATCCTATACCGCCACACGATTTATACTTTATTAATCTAGACACCACTGGTGTACATTTAAAGCAACACATTAATTTCCCTTTCTGCTTACAACAAGAGTATGTGTCACTGTCTGTGTTTTTCTCATCGTCCCATGAATAGGTAAAAACTGTACTAACTAGCATTTGGGAACTAAAGTCTTTCGGTCATTGGCGTAGTCCAGTAGCAGCTAAGGACAACGGGGGCATTTGAAAGAAGACAGAGGAATTACAGTTATGCCGCAGAGTAGAAACAGCTCTTATTTTGTACTTGGCTTTTTAGTAAATGCTCTTTGAACTTGATTTCCTTCTTACTGTACAGATGATGTTAAGGAGATTTTTTTCTTCAAAGAAAACATTTAAAATAAACTCCGTTACTTCGTGCTTTTAAAAAGCATTTAGCTCTTTTCTGTTGATGTTTTGTTATATAGACTCAGGTTGTTGATGATAATATCAGAAGATAGGCCTCGGTTTAACTGAAGGATTGATGTTAATACATTGGTAGAGTTGAAATTGTGTGTTTTGTCTTAATTGCTAGAATTCCCTATCACTGAGCAGGGATAAAGGAATCTGAAAAAGACCTTAAGTTAATCATGCAGTTGAAACTGTAACAAAACTCATACTCTATCCCCCTTCAGAGTTTGTCACCCCTGACTTAGTTCACATTGGGCACCAGTCTTTCAAAATGATGTATTATTTATGAGTTTTGGCATCACATGCCTTCAGTACCGTGATCGTCATCATAATACAAAATGTGAAGCCGAGAGCAGGACTCTTTGAAAATGGCCCTGGGTGTTGGTTCACTTCAGTTGCCTCAACAGTGAACCAACCACCTGGTACTACTTCTGTTCCCCTCCCCCGGCAGAAGTATCTGCCCCCAAGTTTAGCCTCCTTCCAGACTAGTGGCTTCCTTCTTACTCCTGCAGGGACCCCATGGTCTCCATATGCCAGGCAGGTGGTTTCCAGCTGTCACCAAAATTTAGAAAGTTTATTCTTCCGCTAGTAAAAGGGTTCTCCTTCTTGTAGCAGAAGGGAGAAAGATAGGGCAACACTTAAAGATTGGCTCTGTTAGAAATTAAGGGATATGAATGGAAAGAGTCAAAAAAGGAGAATTACAGTGAGTTACAGTAAGCAAACAAGTTTTGTTCTGTTTTGTTTTTTTGCAGAGCAGCTTCTGCCATAGTGAAAAAAGCCCTTCCAGAGGACCGTGGCATTTGTTCTGCAATATTAGAGGCAGGACTGACAGTGGTCAGGTCATTAGAAGGCACAGTCACCAAAGAACTTGTCTGTGAATTATGGCCCCTCTTTTTGACTGATACAAAGTAACACTTTAGAGGAAGAACACGAGATGATATATTCTCTTAGGTGTATAATCAAAATTCTGACATTCATCACAGGTTAACAAGAGGAGCAGGGTTATTTTTTTTTTTTTTAAAGATTTTATTGATTTATTTGACAGAGAGAGACACAGCGAGAGAGGGAACACAAGGGGGGGAGTGGGAGAGGGAGAAGCAGGCCTCCCGTGGAGCAGGGAGCCCGATGTGGGGCTCGATCCCAGGACCCTGGGATCATGACCTGAGCCGAAGGCCGACACTTAACGACTGAGCCACCCAGGCGCCCCAAGGAGCAGTGTTCTGATAAGAACTATGTCAAATCATTGGCTAAAAATAAATCGACTGGGGATGCCTGGGTGGCTCAGTTGGTTGAATGTCTGCCTTTGGCTCAGGTCATGATCTCAGGGTCCTGGGATCGAGTCCCGCATTGGGCTCCCTGCTCCGCGGGGAGCCTGCTTCTCCCTCTGCTTGCTGCTCTCCCTGCTTGTGCACATTCGTGCTCTCTTGCAGGCAGATAAATAAATAAATAAAAATCGATTGTGTTGTGGTTCTTATAGAGGTTCACTTTTTAAGTATTCTGCCCTGGGGAAGAGAGGTATCTTCTGTAAAGGTTAAAATCTAGGAAAGAGGATTCTAGAATGTTTTTCCTCTGTGTTCAAAGGAGGTTTCAGAATATGTACCACTTAACAGAAAAATTAGATGGGCTTTAAAATCTGTCTATGAGACAAGTGACGGTTCTGTGCATGGCACTGGAAGAAGGCGGAGGAAGTTTTTGTTGCATGAAGAGCAGAAATGGTATCTGCTCAAGACAGTTGTAAAATCCAGGGGCGCCTGGGTGGCTCAGTCGTTAGGCGTCTGCCTTCGGCTCGGGTCATGGTCCCAGGGTGCTGGGATCGAGCCCCGCGTCGGGCTCCCTGCTCGGCGGGAAGCCTGCTTCTCCCTCTCCTACTCCCCCTGCTTGTGTTCCCTCTCTCGCTGTGTCTCTCTCTGTCAAATAAATAAAATCTTTAGATTAAAAAAAACTAGTTTGATTAGCAGAGATGACAAGCAGATGTGTAAAACAATTTTTTTTTTAAGATTTTATTTATTTGACGAGGAGGTGGGCTCACAGGAGCAGAGGGAAAGGGACAAGCAGACTCCCCACTGAGTGTGGAGCCCGATGCAGGGCTGGATCTCAGGACCCTGAGGTCAGAACCTGAGCCAAAATCAAGAGTCTGACGCTTAACCCACTGAGCCACCCAGCTGCCCCCAAAGAATTTTTTTTAAACTTATATTTTAAGTCATAATGCCTTGTCAGGACCAGAATTTGTGTTTTTCCTCCCAGACTCAGCATTATAAGTGAGCAGGTTCTCTTGTACTTCCCGCCTACCTATACCTCACAGGTGGAGGACATCATACCAATTTGCCTCAGTTAACGCAGGTGACCTTGACACCATGAAGTTCTCTTTACTCTGTATTTTAAGAATCCAGTAATAAGTATCCAGTGACTGATTCTCATTAGAAAACTAACTAATAATCATGGCTGAAAGCATGTAATTGTAGTATACAGTAGTGTTAAATGTTTATGGTTTGTTTTCTTTTTGTAGAACACAAAGTAATTATAGTGGGACTGGATAATGCAGGGAAAACCACCATTCTTTACCAATTGTAAGTACAGTTATTTACTTAAACAGTTTTCATTATTTTAGTTATTAAAACTAGTTTTATGTAATTAATAAGGTACCATTGTAATATAACGAAAAAGCTCCAACATATGGTTTTGTATTTTACCAAACACAAAATTTGTTTGCACTTGATCTTAGCCAAAAGGCCAAGAAGCAATCAAACAAAATTTGTTTAAAAAGTGAATAAAACTGCTGTATGTTTGCAGAAGCCTTTACAAACACTTGTTTTTTCTGGCCTTGAAAGAAAGAATTAATATTAAACTAAAATAAATAAAGCACATATAATAGTACTGGAGTGAAGTGATAAAGTGCATTTACTTAATTCTTCCCGAACTGCGGTTCATGTGAATAGATGGATATCTCTAGGAAGCTTATAGCTACTCTCCTGACTAATAGCTCTGAATTGTTGAACGTAGCCAGACTTGTCAAATCAAAAGAAATGAAGATCATCCCTGAAAGTACTGCTTTTCTAGCTTGCAGCAGGGAAAGGCTTGAGACTTCCAGAGAAATACATTAATACTTGCAGGAAATTTTAACAGCCCATCAATCCACTTGTCAAAGTAGCTCCTGTTACCCTTTCAGTGTTCATCAGCCGATCTATGTTAAGCAGTGGAAATGGATCTGTGTCCCAAGCATTTTAGCAAATAGTTATTAGATACAGTGCACTGTGGTTGGGCTCTTATCTCTTTCCACCTCATCTTAAGTGTATCAGCTGACAGCTCTCCAGAAATACTTCACTTACGCAGTGCCTAATGTATTTTTCAGCTACTTTGCTAAAAAGCTCCTAACTTGTGGCTTGTTGTTTTAGAGGCGAATAACTACTTGTTTTACTTTAAAATATTCATTCATTGGCCATTATATATTTAATATGACTTTGCCTTCAAACGTCAGATATAAACATTTCAGAAACCTGTCAGTTGTTGAAATAATTTTCCATGTAGCTTCAAAAAGATACATAAAACCCAAGAGACAGTACAGTTGTAGGCTTCTTCCAACACAGTACCAACTTACTCTAGGCAAGTACGTATTTGTTGAATGAATTAATTCATGTTGCTTAGCCAGTAATTATGGTAATATATGTGGTATGAGCATTGGTGTTGTAAATATATTTATAGTTCTTTTAATTAAAATTGTCATTTGCATATAGCCCTATCTTTTTAAGGCTGATAGGCCTGAGTCTCAATTTTCTCCCCTAGACAGTCTTCCAGAGTTATATATAGCCTACTCTTCAGTGGTTGCTACTTTGCAAATACTGATATCACAGTCACCAGTAAACTTGCTCTTTCAGAAAGGGGCACTGGTTCTACTTTGATTAGCAGGGCATGGTGGTTTTGGAATTTTGGCCACAGAAATACAAACTCACACCACGGTGTTCCTTTCGCTCCAGATCAAGCCTTTAGTTTATTTATTCCACTAAAAGAAAAAAAAAAGAGTCTTCCTTCAGGAGTTGTTCTTTGTCTAGATATTTGTTTGCACAAATGTTCTCTAAGGTTCTAGTTTTGATGCTTATGATGACCATCGGTACAAATGAGGAAGGGTGATTGGTAATAAAAACATAGAGGTAAAACTTCCTTTGGATTCTCAAGATTTACAAAAGGTTTTTTTTATGGTGTCTTTCAACAGCTTAATGAATGAAGTGGTTCATACATCTCCAACCATAGGAAGCAACGTTGAAGAGATAGTTGTGAAGAACACTCATTTTCTTATGTGGGATATTGGTGGTCAAGAATCACTGCGCTCATCCTGGAACACATATTACTCAAACACAGAGGTATCTAAGCTGCCTTCTGAATTTTAATACAGAGAACCAAAGAGTAAACCCAGAAAGTAGATAGGCTGTACATGAAGGCATATTGACATTTGCTTCTCAGTAACATCGTGTTCTATACGGAATGTGAGGTTTTCAAATAGAAGAGAAAAGGCCAGTAGAGAGAGTAACATGCACTGTTTGTTGTGGGTTTACTGTAGTGCAGACTCTGAGCTCATCCTCCCAGTAATCCTGTAACATTACTGTTGGAGAAAGTGGAGACTGGAATCAATCAGATAACCTGTCCCAAGATCTCACAGCTTTATGAGGCTCTGGTTAGGGGAGGAATAAAATATTTTAAGCATCATTTAATACAAGATTTTCAAAATTCAAATTTTTGGTGAGATTATATTTTAGTTAAAAAAAAAATGGATTTACTGCAGCCCCTGCCGACCCCCCCCCCGCCACCTGCCAAATTCTCTGTCAGTTATTTCATTATTTTACTACTTCAGAGCCAACCTGGGAAACAATCTGGACTAGTTTCTATTTCTGTTTTTATTTCTTGTTAGAGGCAGATTTTTTTTAAAACCAATGCAGTGCTGTTGAGAGATTTATCTTTGAGTATACTAATGTACAATTACATCCATAATTTCTCTTTACAAACAGGTACATCTAACCAATTATTTTTTTTCTAAAATGAAGCCTATTAAAAATTGAGTGGGTGTTTTGAAGGGAAGTGTGCAGAGGAGGTGGGGAGTTGCAAAGTTTTGGTGAATAAGTTTCTTTTATGATTATATTACAATCACGTGAGTATGTGGGTGGATATATTCCACTGCAGTTTGTGACTGTCAAAACCAAATGGCGTATCATAGATCTTTAGCAGTGGTGCTAGCACTTAATTCTTTTTATTTGCAGGGGAAGATAGGATGGTAAGCAAATATGGTTGTAGGTTAGCTTAATACATACTTCTATCATAAAATAACATTCCAAAACTAAAACATGTTAGAAAGTAAGAGAAGAACAACCTTTTAGCATGATAGCAGTTGCCCCTTGAACGATGCAAGGGTTAGGGACCCTGACCCGCTTACACAGTCCAAAATCCACATACAACTTGACTCCCCAAAAACTTGACTGATAGCCTACTGTTGACCAGAAGCCTTACCGATAACGTAAAGAGTGGATTAACACGTGTTTCTTATGTTGTACGGATTATATACTGTATTCTGACAATAAAGTAAGCTAGAGAAAAGAATGTTATTAAGAAAATCATTAAGAGAAAATGCATTTACAGCACTGGCTACACAGTTAAAACATCACATTTAAGGGGATCTGCTCAGTTCAGACCCATGCTGTTCACCTGTATTTAAGCAGCATAGCTGTTGCTGCCTGTGCAAAGCTCACAGGTAACTGCAGGTGTGAGAGAGAGGAACCATCAGTTCTGATGAGTAGTAGGTTAGAGTTGGTTCTAGCTGATCCATGTATATTTATAGCATTACAAAAGGGTAGTTTCTGAAGTTGCAGGAACTCTAGAAGACTTAGCGTGGGTCCAGAAAGAAAGAAATACGTTATTAATGACACCATTTGCATGAAATGTTTTTTTTAATAAACTCTTTCTCTAAGAATTTCAGAATTGCTACACAAAGACACTTTGGCCTTTACTGCAGCACCCCAGCATAGCACCGAGCATTTGCAGTCTTAGATGCCGGGTGGGGATCCTGTCTATGTGGTGGTTCCCTGATGGCTTTGTTCACCCTCATCAGCTTCTTCAATTCCTTACCTTGACGAGTCCTCCAAAGGCCAAAAGCCGAAGGTCTCTGTCACATTGCAAGGAGTTCAGCTGTTGGCAGATGCCTGGCACACCCCTCTCAGTAGAGTCACTTCCCCATATTCACTTTGCCACATTTCTTCCCTTTCTTCCCTTTTATGCCCTTTGAAGCCATTCACATTTTATAAGCAGATCACTCTAGTTGTCTCTCTGCCAAATTTTAAGGTCTTCTAAACAATCTGGTGTCACCCTCTCTCTCCATTTATTCTGTGTCATTCCTCTATTATGACCTTTAGCATCTCTTTAATCTCACTTCTTAACTTTTTCTTCTAAGATATTCAGTTAGGGGCCCTTTGCACTGTATCTTCTTATTTTTCTTACCAAAGATCCTTTTATTTTTAACGTATGAGACCCACCTGTTTTCATACGCACCTTTACCAGCAGCTTTCTCCAGTCCTCTTAGCTTGCTCCTCTTTCATTTCGCCTGCATCCCCTCTAGCATATTAACCGCTAAGTAGGTATGTTTCTAGTTAGCACATTTTTTCTGGGGCTTTTATTGTTGATCTTGTTATGTTAAAATGTCTTGTTCATTAGTTGTTTTTTTGTTTTTTTTTTTAATTTGTTTCTCTTTCTTTCAAACTTGTGTGCTCCTTTCTAATAGACAGGAGACTGTCTGAAACCGAAATAATTACTGATTGCTTAAATGAGCAATTAGAGTACTTTCAAGTTTTAGTAAAAGTTATTTAAATTACCATGACTTTTTCTTTGAAAATTATTTTTTATTACCTGCATTTAAAAATAAATCTTAGTGTTACAGAGTATTATGTATTAAGACATCACCTTTTTAAAATAAGCTTTGGGCATAGTTATTTGTTGAAATTATGAGTTATTTTCTTATTAACATTTGGATTTTACAGTATAATATAAACTCTTTATGATGAAAAAGCAGTAGACCATTTTATGGTAATGATGACGTCATGTGAAGAAAGTACTCTCACTTGAGAGTTTTGCCGAAAACTTGAAGATTTCATTCAATTTCCTTTCTTTTTGATTGTCTTTTAGTTCATCATTCTTGTTGTTGATAGCATTGACAGGGAACGACTAGCCATTACAAAAGAAGAATTGTACAGAATGTTGGCTCATGAGGTAAATTTTGAAAGCAAACTTAAACCATGGAGTAAGGTATCTGTATACTGGTGCTTTTTTACAAAGATTATGGGCTTTGCTGTTGGTTATTTCATCATTAACAGAATTTTATATTTTGATGAAAGTTTTTGTTTTTTGTGTGTGTGTTTTTTTTTTAAGATTTTATTTATTTGACAGAGAGAGACACAGTGAGAGAGGGAACACAAGCAGGGGGAGTGGGAGAGGGAGAAGCAGGCTTCCTGCCGAGCAGGGAGCCTGATGCGGGGCTCGATCCCAGGACCCTGGGATCATGACCTGAGCTGAAGGCAGACGCTTAATGACTGAACCACCCAGGCGCCCCTTGATGAAATTCTTAAAGTCAGAAAGTTCCATTACATTTTCAAACTTGAAAAAGCTCAACACGTTAATTTGTAGAGTATTACTGTTATTGACAAGATTTTTCAAAGTTTAAACCACTTATTCAAGCCTTAAAGAGTCTGATAAATTAAAGCAAGAAAGAGGAAAATTTAAGTGGTTTTTTTTTTCCTAAGAGTTTATAATAACTAAAAATTCTTTAGTGAATAGTATGAGATCACTTAATTCTATTTCAGATACACGAAAGACTTAGATAATAAAACACATTTGTCCACCATCCATTCAGTATAAGATATGAAATATGTGACCACCAATCTCATTTTCTTCCTTTCTCTCAATTCTGAAAGAATTACATTATCCTAAAAGTAGTGATTATCAATCCCATGTATATTTTTATACTTTCCCTACATTTTTGTCAGTTGATTTATATTTCATTGTTCATAAACTCTTACATAATGATAAGGATTTTTTTCCCTGTAACTCAGTTTTGGGTTTTTTTTGCACAATATTGTGATTATCCATGTCAGTACATAGAGCTTTAGTTCATTGTTTTTGATATGTAGTGTATGATTAAACTACATTTGATCTATTTTTTTGATCTGTTCTTTTATTAATGAACATTTAGGTTATTTCTAAATTTTGATAGTATGAACAATTCTACAGTGACTATTAATGAATGCAGTTAGTCTATACCAATACTAGTAAGTAAAATAAGTATTACCCAGCCCTTACCCTCAGTCCTCTTCTTTAAATTTGGAGAAATTCTGTAGTATTTGGTAACATATTACCATATTTGGCCATTAGAGTATTGCTCATAGAGTTTTAAATCCGTGTTTAAGGTGCATGTTTATTTTACTTTTAGTTTGACCCCCTTGGCCCAACAATATAAAATAACTTTTGATTACCTGGCTTATGTTAATAAGCCTATCTCTGTTAGAGTCAGTCATTAAATCTCTATTATTTGAGAAAATTTTCATTTCAATACAACTTTTATTTATTTATTTTTTTGAGTTTTTATTTTTTAAGTAAGCTCTAAGCCCAACATGGGGCTTGAACTCACAACCCCGAGATCAGGAGTTGTGTGTTCTACTGACTGAGCCAGCTAGGCAGCTCTCAATAAAATTTTTAAATTAAATATTACTGCCTAATCATTGAAAGTAGGAGGATTTCATTATAACTGTCCAGTTGGGCATATCTGACCTTCCTGATGTATTAGTTTAAATTGAATCGTGGTATTTCTTGTATTAGAAATATTTCATATTGATTGCAGGATCTACGGAAGGCTGCAGTCCTTATCTTTGCAAATAAACAAGATATGAAAGGGTGCATGACAGCAGCTGAAATCTCTAAATACCTCACCCTTAGTTCAATTAAAGATCATCCATGGCACATTCAGTCCTGCTGTGCTTTAACAGGAGAAGGGTAAGTGTTAAACGATAGGATGGGAGGTATGACTTCTTTCAAATTTCTATCAACTTTTCTTTGATCCTGTTCCCTTTTTTGTTCTTAAAGATAGCTTTTATATTGTATTTCAGTTTTATAAGGTGGAAATTATTTTAGTCCGTTACTGTTGTTAAGTTACAGTTGAGCAGAGTTATTGACACATTTTTTTGTAACTTTTAATATAAACAAAAGGTTTTACCAGAAAAAGTCAATAACAAACATTTGAATTAAGTTGTCCCAATCCAGATTTTTAGTTGCTGTTCATTTCTTGCTTATATCATTGACTAGCTGGGGCGGGGACAACCGGAATGTTGCCTGGATTAAAGAGGAAGCTTCAAAGAAATTTCACATTTTCTATAAAGGCTTAATTAAGCATGAGCTCTCAGCTTTCCACAAGAGTACATCTCCTTTCCAATCAGGAGTTCCTTCAGGGGGCATACTTCGAGAGAGGAAACATTGGCGATAAATGCTTCTTAGAGTATATTCTTCTTTCCTAAGAACTTGAGTTTGGATAGAGTAGGCCAAAGAGAACCCAGCATGTTAGACATGACTTATCCAGTTGATTTCCAGGAGTTTATTTCTCCTCTAATCAACCTGACCTTCTTAGTTATGCTCATATTAGAAATAGCTTGTAATATAATAGTAGATGTAGACTTTTTTGACCTATGCTTCTGCGACTGGGCCATAAGCATTCCATTCTTTAGGATTTAGGAGGGTAAGGCAGAGTTCCTGTTGTCTTTCTATAGTGGTTTCAGTTTTAATCTTAAAAGGGCGAGAGGAGTAATTGCAATCTTGATGGTAAAACTGCCCAAACGGTTATCCTCAAGATGAGACTGAAACCATTTCCCAGTTACTCAACTATTCTGATTACCATCATTTTGTCTAAGTGAATCTTCCGCTTAAAAATTGCACTTCTTATGGTGTTACCTACATATTTCACTTACCTGTATAATCATTATCGCAGTATCAACATTTGGGTAAGATTTAAAAATACTAAGTATGCTTTAAATTCTAAATATTTCCATTTTGAAAATACTTCTGTCTTTTGTTTCAGGTTATGCCAAGGTCTAGAGTGGATGACCTCCCGGATTGGTGTGAGATAACTTTTTGCTCGAAAGAGACTGCTCTATTTATTCTGTGACATGAACATTTTCCTAGTACATTTGGCTGCTAAGGCAGCAGCATGTTTAATTTATAACAACACAAACCTCTATGAGCAACACTTGAATCAAGTGCAGCTGAACTGGAACATAAAAAGATTTTTTCTTAACTTTTTTTTAATGCACTAATCTTCAGTTGGATGAACATAATGTATAACTATGTTTTCAGCAACATAATTCTTCTGACTGCTGATTCTAATTATTCAATGACTGCCTTGTAAGAAATGTTTGTCATATGTTTAATGTTTTCTGAAGTATTGTAATAACTTTAATGACCAATTTCTTGACTACCCCCTCTCTCTACCAGATAATTACTGGTTTGACAAAGTAGTAGTGGAAATCATCAGGTACTGCTTGCAAACTTAACCAGCACTAAATATTTGCTCCCTCTCCAAACCACTGATCTTTTGGACAGAACTTATTATAGAGAAAGAAATCTGCCTAGAAGTTAGATATGTGTGTGTGTGTGTGTGTGTGTGTGTGTGTATGTGGAAGACTGACCATCATGAGACCTGCTTTTAAGTTAATTTCTCCCACATTATTACAAGTCATGGAATAATTTTAAGTTACTATTAGCATGGAAATTAAATAGGCTGTTTATCTAAAAGAATTAAATTCACTTTTCTGCCTCCTACACAGGTTTAGTTTTGGCTAAAAACTAATCAAGGAAAAATATTTGAAAGCCCAACTTTGATGGTAAATATTTTGGATAAATCTGATAATTTTAAAAATGTCACACTATTCAACACATACATTATCGGAAATTATTAAAGGATACCAGCACTACTATCAAAACAAGACACTTGGAATATATTTTACTATCAATTATAAGCAACTTTATTATCAGCAAAAAGTTCAACTATTCCATTTGCAAGGGAGAGCACATCTGCTTTAGGCAATAGCTAAAGCAGAAGTACAAACATTTTCGTTTCTTAAAAATTTGAAATTGTGTGAATTTGAATAGTGTTTCTACCACCAGCAGTATGTTACTTAGAAAACCATATGACTTTTCCATAAATCTCTCTTAGTTTATAGTGTAATAGGCTTAAAACAGTCGCCATCTTTATAGAACATGATGTTCTGAAGTCTTTTCCTGCGTTACAGGAAACTGCTGAATTTAATCCTAGCTTTTAAAGTATTACTAGGAGATTGAAAGTTAACTCTAACATCTTATAAATTAAAAAATAGGAAGAAAAAGTCATATCTATCAAAAGTCTATTACATATCATTCAAAAGTTTTCAAGGCAGTTGTCTAATATAAGCAGTAATATAAATAGTGCGAGGACAAGTAATTTTGATCCTCTATTTCAAATGTGTGATTTTGCTATAATGAAAGGGATAAAATGCATACTTAGAGAATAATACTTCATTTTTGCAGTATGAATACCTGTTCAAAAGTGGTATTTTAATTTTAATATTTTTTATTGTAAATTGGTTTTACTTTTGCTCTGTTTTCAGGTATACTTGATTTATTATATTTAGTCTAATTTAGTTGAATGTGGTAACATTTTCTTTCTATTTAGTGGTAGCACACCCCCTAGAACTGAAAAATGACCAGAGGAAAGCTTTCTGGACTTTGGGAACTAACGGTTTATTAACTTTGTCTTGAACCTTTTTCTTAGTGATTCTATACCAGGTAGAGAGTAAATTTTGTTTTTAATAAAATCCATAATCTAGAACATGAGAGAAAAGCAAACATAAATCAATATGGATGCTTTGTGGTATGTGTTTGGGGCAAGGGGCAGGAGGAAATATGAAGATACCATTTACCTAAAGCACACTTTGCCAGAGTTTCTGTCTTGGTTACAGAGTTTAGCCATAAATACTGAAGATAATTCTCTTAGCTCCATCCTGAGAAAACATATTTAACACCACCCCTGTATCCATTCTTATGAAATTTATCTTCTTATATCTAGTAAGATTGGCTGGTTCAGTTTTCTTCTATCAAATTATACGGTTATTTTTTTATATTACCACATCAGCATTATATTGAAAGTGTTTTTAATAGTTGATCATGTTTGTCAAACAACTACTAGTATAGATTCAAGTTTGCTGTTTAATTTTTTAAAATACGATTTATTTTCTAAATTTTTTAAAAAAGCATTTTGTTAGTTTGGGATTAGAAATGGTTTATGTTAGTTGTGTTAAAAATGAAATCGACATCCCACTAGTTTTTGTGGCAATGATTGGGAAAAGTTCAAATAGGAAATTCATGTAAGACTTTTTAAAGGTGTTTTATAGGTTCTCATTAGAGATTTCCTGTTACAGTGATATGAACACTGATTATCCTTTACTCCAAGAGAATGTTTTGTTTGACCCAAGCGGGTATCTAATACTAAAGCATTGATTCTGACATGCATTGTCAATTAACTATAAGATACTATCTGATGAAAAATGTAAATTTGTAATTAGTGCCTTTATTCACATTTTGAGATGAGTTCTCAATTTTGTACTATACCTGTTCTTTAGAAGTCAGATTAACAGCTGATTAACTTGACAATGAACTAATTCGAGATTCACCTACCCGCCAACCCTTCAGTTGCCTAGCAAAGTTTCTAGTACCTAGTGGAAAGCAAGGGACCCACCCACATTACTTTTGGGAGATTTTTCTAGATTTTATTTTTATTTTGAGGATGAAGAAATGAAAGTTTAACAAATCTTTTCAATATTTTATTGGAACTGAAATGTAACTGCCACCCAAATATGGCATTTTTCTTCATTTTGAACACTTTCTTCATATTTAAGCCCACTGTGCTTATTGCAGCGCATTTGGGAACTCTTAGAATTAACAGGCCCTTTTATATGGGAATATACTACATAATTTGTATTGTTAGTGTAATTTAATTCCTTAAAATCTGAAATTATATATATATATATAATCTTTTGGAAAACTCATGGTTAAATACATAATTTTTGCTTTTAGGTTCTGTGTTAGGTGTGCTTAAAGGTATAATTTCATTCTGTATTCATTAGAAGAAAGGTAATAAATTCAAGTTTTATTGTTAAAAATAATTTTTAAATGGGCACTTACCCTTAGAGCCAAAGTCATTTTGTTTAAGCATAAATTAACTTTTATTTTCTATAGCATCAAGAGAAAATAATTATTTTCCTATGGAAACAGTGAATGATACAGGCAGTGCTGTAAACAGTATTCTCGGAAGAGCTATGGGGAATCAACAAAGCAAAGAAAATTTTAAAGAAAACAATAAATCTTTATATTTTTAAAAATCTTTGGTGTAGTATCTTAGGACAAATTAGAAATAGAATTGTTTGTGACTAGCACTCATTTAATTCTTAGCTATGTAAAACTATATCAGTAGAAAAATGTAGTAGTAGTATGCCTATGGATGGGTAAATTCCATTGACATTTATATTTGAAGACCAGCTTCATGAGTCTCATCTTTTCATCTGTGGCTTTGGATCCAAAATATTTTATATCCAGTTCAATTCTAAAGGATCTTTTATATTTTGTTGGGATAAAGTCACTTCAAGATGCAGTCTTGTAACTTGTATCTAGTAGAATATTGTGCTGGCTGTCTAAAGAAGTGTATTTGAATCTTAATTTGACCCTTACTTGTCTAGTTGACCTTAAGATGGTTACTGTTCACGGCCTTTCTGTTTTTTCCCCATACTGTGGCACTTAAGCCAACTAGAACTCCTTATCTTTTGGTTTTAAAATCCTGAATCCTTATACACTACATTAAAGTCAAAAAACTAAAAATACTAGGGAAGGACACGTAATAGGAAATTAAGTTCACTTTTATCTATTCTTTGATTCCCACCTCATCATTTTGTTCAGTTTATGAATACAATCAAATAAGAAAACAAAGTATCAACTAGTAACTGCTACTCCGCTTCAGTTGAGCTAAGGCTAATGACAATGCAGAAGAGAAAATAAGCCATATTGCTAAGAAAATTCTTTTAAGCTGCTGATAAAACACCAGTGTTGTGTTTAAAATACTCTCTTCTAGAGTATAGCCTGCTTATTTTCCTGGCTTTTACTAATTAGAAGTGGTTGGTTTGTTCAGAGGGTGTTGGCTTTAGATGCTACCCCAAGCTCCCGGTGCTGTTTGACTTTTCAGTATTGAAACAATAGCGCAGCCAGGCTGTCAGTACTTTTACAGACGTCCGTGTAAATCTGAGAGTAGTTTACATTCAAGGTTGGTTCCTTCCGTAATGTCTCATCCTTACTCATTTAGCATTACTGTGAAGCCTGAAATCCAAGGCTCCCAAAAAGTATTTTTTTAAAAGTTCCAGGTAGCCAAAAATAAAAAGAGAAGGTCGATTAAAAATTTTTTTTCTCCATTTTAAAGTAGAAAAAATATTATGTTCAACAGATCCAAAATCAGTTTTAAATGTATATGATTTGGTAAAATGTTTGGGAAAGTTTAACTTGGGGGTATAGAGTTGTACCTAGAAACGAATGTCAAAACAGTTGATAGTAAAGATAAACATGAGGTAGAAAAATCTTCAAAAGGATATTAAGTAATAGAAAATGTGAATGAAGACAGGGAATTTCCCTCATTTAAGGCACTTAAAAATTATTAGAAAGTACGGTCTTTTACTGTAGAGCTAGATATCTTACTTTTAAAGTGGCCAAAGGACCAAAGACTGATCAGGTTTTTAGAATTTGTTAGTGTTGTCAGTCACATCTTTTTTACTTTTTTCTTAAACTGGTAACCTACATTGTCTCCTGGAAATGGAGAAGTAATAAAATGTGCCGTACATATCTTTTGGAATAGATAAAAGAGTTCTAGAAGAATGGAAATGTTCTCTTGCACAAACTTGTAAAATTTTAATTAAAAAGTTACCTCATTTTTCAATCCATAAGGTGCTTTGCTCAAGCTTGTGGGATGTTACACCCATAAATACCCCCTTCACCCAAACTGTGTTTGAAATATGCAAAATTCACAGCTAAGGGATAGCATTCCTTGGATATTCTATTTCGTTTTATTCTTGTTTGCCACCAGCAGGGCTAACGTGGTATAGCAGATTCACTTAATGTCTTCATTAAAGCACACAGGCAAGTGCTCAGCCAGTACTTAATTCGTTTCATTAAAAATCAAATAAGGGCAAGGAAAAACCCTAAAATCTGATCGATTATATTATACTGTGACTGTATTTCATTCCGTGTTGGGAAAATACCAAATGACTGTCATTTGATCTTGGTTGTGCATAATGTATTTGCATATTTTGTCCCTATTCATAAGAAATGATTATTTTAATCCTTTTACATTTTCCCTCAGGAAGTTCAAGGACTCGAGAAGCCCCTCTTTTATTCTCTTGGAGTAAACTGTTCAGTGTAGTTATGAAATTTTTAATTTCGATTAAAAAGTTTAGCTGCTATTTTGTTAAAAGTGGATTATAAAATGATGGTTATGATTTTTTTTCCAATTATGTAACAGTTTTAAATTTTACCCTATTTTTTGCACAGAGCATGGTTTTTAAAAAGAAAAGAAACAAAAACTAAAAGCAATTACCGCCTAGTCCCTGGATTTCTCCTAATCAGAATGTAATGGTTATAATCACACATTGCCATCTTCATATAAATTGGTGCTTTAGACCATTAAAGAGGAAACAGCAGGCCCTGTAGAATATACTTCTTGCTTCAGAATGTAAAACTGCTTTAAAGTGTATTTATATTTATGTTCATTTCTTAAGGTTTAAATACAAACTGTTGTTTCTACAAAAGCTGTAACAATATCTTAGCTAA